TTCTCAAAACTTTATGCTAATAAGTTTGAGAACTTGACAGAAATGGACCTTTTCCTAGCAAATATTGACATGCCAAAACTAAACCAAGATGAGTTAAACCAGCTTAACAGGCCCATATCAAGCATTGAAATAGAAACAGCAATAAGAGACCTCCCAGCTAAGAAAAGTCCAGGACCAGATGGTTTTACAGCGGAATTTTACAAGGCCTTCAAAGCAGAGCTCACACCAATACTCCTCCAACTCTTCAATGAAATTGAAAGAGAAAGCTCACTACCGAACACATTCTATGAAGCCATCATAACCCTCATCCCAAAACCAGGCAGGGACTCATCAAAGAAAGAGAACTATAGACCCATTTCTTTGATGAACATTGATGCAAAACTTCTCAACAAAATTTTGGCCAATCGACTTCAACAATTCATCCAAAAAATCATACACCACGATCAAACAGGATTCATTTCAGGGATGCAAAGCTGGTTCAATATACGCAAATCAATTAATATTATTCATCACATCAACAGGAGCAAGAATAAGAACCACATGGTTATCTCAATAGATGCAGAAAAAGCATTCGACAAGATCCAACACCCCTTTATGATGAAGGTTTTGGAAAAATTAGGAATCCATGGAACATTCCTCAATACGATAAAGGCTGTATATGACAAACCTACAGCCAGCATTATACTCAATTGTGAAAAACTAAAGCCATTTCCTCTTAACTCAGGAACAAGACAAGGATGCCCACTCTCTCCACTTCTCTTCAATCTAGTATTAGAATGCCTAGCTACAGCAATAAGACAAGATGCAGACATAAAGGGGATCCAAATAGGGAAAGAAGAAATAAAACTCTCCCTCTTTGCAGATGACATGATCTTGTATTTAAAGAATCCCATAGACTCCACTCCCAAATTACTCAAGCTGATTCAAAACTTCGGCAAAGTAGCAGGTTATAAAATTAACCCCCAAAAATCAATGGCTTTTCTGTATGCCAACAATGAGAAAAGTGTGGCTGAAATTAGGAAAGCAACTCCATTTGTAATAGCCCCACAAAAAATAAAATACCTAGGAATTAACTTAACTAAAGAAGTGAAGGACCTCTATGATGAAAACTTTAAAATCTTGAAAAAGGAAATCAACACAGAACTTAAAAAATGGCAAAACCTCCCATGCTCCTGGATTGGAAAGATTAACATCGTGAAAATGGCAATACTTCCCAAGGCTATCTACAAATTCAACGTAATACCTATCAAAATTCCACCCTCATTCTTCAAGGAAATAGAAGAGGCAATCCAAAAATTCATATGGAACAATAAAAGACCCCGAATAGCAAAAACGCTCCTGAATGGAAAGAACACTGCTGGAGGAATATCAATACCAAACTTCAAACTCTACTATAAAGCCATAGTAATCAAAACAGCTTGGTATTGGCATAAGAACAGACCTCAGGACCAATGGAATAGAATTGAAAACCCAGAAATGAACCCACAGACCTATAGCCATCTAATCTTCGATAAGGGAGCTAAAACAATAGAATGGAAGAAAGACAACCTCTTCAGTAAATGGTGCTGGCAAAATTGGTTAACTACATGTAGAAAACTTAAGCTAGATCCTTATATATCACCCTGCACCAGAATCAACTCCAAATGGATCAAAGACCTTGAACTCAAAGCAGACACTCTGAAAACATTACAGGATGGAATAGGAGAAACCCTAGGTCTCCTTGGCTCAGGCCGAAATTTTCTGAATAGAGACCTGGAAACACAACAAATCAAAGAAAGGTTGGACAAATGGGATTGCATAAAGTTGCAGAGCTTCTGCAGGGCAAATGACATAGCTAGCAAGATCAATAGAAAGCCCACGGATTGGGAGAAGATCTTTACTAGCCATACAACGGACAAGGGTCTCATATCTAAAATATACTTGGAACTCAAAAAATTAAACCCCCCAACAACAAATCCTCAAAGAAACAACTGCCCAATAAATAAGTGGGCGAAAGACTTAAAGAGAAACTTCTCTGAAGAAGAAAGAAGGATGGCCAATAGACACATGAAGAAATGTTCAACATCCCTAGCCATAAAAGAAATGCAAATCAAAACAACATTGAGATGTCACCTCACTCCAGTGAGAACGGCAAAAATCAAGAACTCTAACAACAACAGATGCTGGAGGGGATGTGGACAGAAAGGAACCTTAATTCATTGTTGGTGGGAATGTAAACTTGTTCAACCACTTTGGAAAGCAGTATGGAGGTTCCTCAAAAGACTCCACATAGAGCTCCCCTATGACCCAGCAATCCCACTTTTGGGCATTTACCCTAATGTTTACAAACAAGACCACACTAAAGCTACCAGCACAACTATGTTTATTGCAGCATTATTTACCATAGCTAAGATATGGAACCAACCCAGATGCCCCTCAGTAGATGAATGGATCAAGAAAATGTGGTATATATACACAATGGAATTCTATGCCTCCATCAGAAAGAATGACATTGCCCCATTTGTTAGGAAATGGAAAAACTTGGAAAAAATTATATTAAGTGAAGTAAGCCAGGCCCAAAGAAACGTAGGTCCCATGGTTTCCCTTATTTGTAATATCTAGTATATGTATGAGTCAAGCGGAAAAGGTCAGATAATGTGATGTCAGGAAAATGAACCCTTAGATGTGTATTTTAATGTTTTTTTCTTTCATGCATGTGTTTCTAACACAGTTATAAGATTATCTCTTTGTTGCTTTGTATGTCCCTCCCCCACAGTATAACCCTTGCTTTCACTATATTTGATGTCAGTATAACTTGTGGAGGAGATGGGGAAAAACCAGTTGTTTAAGGATACAGGTGGACCTGTTGCAACAATGAGAAGTACAAGTTGTCATGTCCAAAACGAACTTTACAATGTTGGTGGGGGGGGGGGGGGGGCTGGGGGGAGGGAGGAAGGAGAAGGATTGGGATTAGGGGGGGAGGGGGGAGGCTGGGAAGGGATGTGAAGGATAAACAAAGGAGGAGGCTGCAATGCTTGGTAAGAAATGTACACATTATCCTGCCCATGTAACTGTAACTCCTCTGTACAGTATGTTCACAAATAAAATAAAATTAAATTTAAAAAAAAAAAAAAAAAAAAAAAGGACATAGTTAGCAATATAAATAGAAAGCCCACAGTCTGGGAGATCTTCACTAGCTATACAACAGACAAGGGCTTCATATCAAAAACATACCTAGAAGTCAAGAAATTAACTCCCCAAAAAACAAATCCTCAAAGAACCAGCCACCCCATTAATAAGTGGGCTAAAGAATTAAAAAGAGACTTCTCTGGAAGAGTAAATAAGAATAGCCAATAGACACAAGAAGAAATGTTCAACATCTCTGGTCATAAAAGAAATCCAAATCAAAACTACATTGAGATTCTACCTCAACCCGGTTAGAATGGCCATTATCAAGAAAACAAATGATAACAGTTTCATGTTAAAGGTTAATGGTGACAGTCCCAGTGGACAATGATGGATTGGTAACCCTTAGAAATATATCTACGTTATTTATGTGTCCATTCATTCACAAAAGCAAACAAAATACTCTTATTGCTGCTCCAAATCAATAAGAGAATGGCTACTGTTACCATCCTTTGAATCCATTCCCCTCCCCAAGTAATTCTGCAGCACAGGTAGCTTCTTTCCCAGATTACTACAGCTATCCAAGTTACATGCCACAGGCCAACATTCCAAAACTCTGGGGCCTTCAAAGGCCCCATATGACTACCCCATATCAAACCAACTGCAGCTCCAAGGGCAGCCATGTTGTTTCCACTATTTTGTTGACTATAGTGAAGGAAGAGACATGAGAGCAGGAAAGGAAACAGAACCTGGACTCACACCTATAATCCCAGCTACTTGGGAGGCAGAGGTAGGAAAATCACAGGTCAAGGAAAGTTAGAAGATCCTATCTGAAAAATAAACAAAAAGCAAAAAGACTGAGGGTATGGCTCAAGTAACAAGCACTGGGCCCCAAGTTCAATCCCCAGTACTACAGAAAAGACAAGAAACTGGTGAGGCCAATCAATGAAATAGAGGCTCCTCCTTGAGCTGATATACAAGGTGGTTAAAGACAGGAATGGAGGAGGGGAAGAGAAGGATGAGGGACACCATGGAGGGTTTGTTTCATTTGTCCTTTGTTTTGAATTATGTGCCTTGAATCCATTTTTTTGGCTTCAATCCCACTTCTGGGCATTTACCCAAATGACCACAAACAAGGCCACACTAAAGCTATCAGCACAACTATGTTTATCACAGCATTATTTACCATAGCTAAAATATGGAACCAACGCAGATACCCCTCAGTAGATGAATGGATCAAGGAAATGTGATACACATACATACAATGGAATTCTATGCTTCCATCAGAAAGAATGACACCACCCCACTTGTAAGGAAATGGAAGGACTTAGACAAAAATCACATTAAGTGAAGTAAGCCAGACCCAAAGAAACATAGGTCCTGTGGTCTCCCTTATTTGTAATAATTAGTACATGTCTAGGATAATCTTAGCAGTCGAGCAGAATAACTCAATAGCTATGTATATATGACCATATAAGATGATGCTAAGCAAAATGAACTCTAAGACATGGACACGAGAGGTTTTTCTTTGTTGTTGTTCTCAATGTACTACATGATTTCTTTTTTTCTTTTGTGTTTTTTCCCCAATGGCTTATCCCCTGTTTTCATTGTATTCCATTTTGGTACCCTGGGTATTGTATATATGTTTATTTGAACTAAGGAAGGGAATGGGGAACAACAAAATGGTGAGACAAAGGACAATACTCACAAGACACTATGTTGGAAATGATCTGTTCAAGTTGGGGGGTGGCTGAGGGGAGGGAAAAAGGGAGAACAATGATGGAGGGGGTCACAAGTTAGACAAGAAATGTAATCACTACCGTACTTATGTAACTGTAACCCCTGTGTACATCACTCGGACAATACATTTAAAAAAACAACATAAAAACCAAGACTGAGCTCCCAAATCGTTTTCACATTTTACTAGGAAGGTACTCTGTAGATATGTTTTTAGTTGGTATATAATTTGTAAAACGGCAATTCAAATACAACATGTACAAATGTCATTTTATAAAAATGTCTTAAAAACTAGTAGATAAGGTGTCCTGTGCTGGGATATGACTGGCAGGCAAATCTGGGCAGGTGGTGTCCACTGTGAGGGACCGGTAGCCATAGTCCCTCAGCCACCTCTCCATTCCCATGTCCTCTACATTTCCTTCTACTCCTCTTCTGTGGCCTCCTTCTTACCCAAAACCCACCGCTTCATGGATAACCACACAGCATAAAATAAGTAACATATACACATCTTCGTACCTTATGATAATAGACAAGAACAATTCTGGTTTTCTGAGACATCCAGCCATCTTATTTCCCTTGGCCTTTTATCCCAAAAGTCTATTTCAACCAGAGTTCTCACATCACCTTCATGCCTTTGGGCCATCTCTTTCAGGCACAAAGTAGTTAGTCCTTCAAGTACCAGTACTATAATAGTTAACCCTTGATCACAACAACTAAAACATTTTTTTAAAAAAGCTGTCTTGTTGCAATGGTTCTACATTCCATAGTGCCAGGAGTTCTCCTGAGAAAACACATAAAGGAAAAAAATTCAGGTCCATAAGTAAGCTGCAACAAGTTCTGAATGTGTGCCACTCAGGAAATCCTCCAGACCAAAACTATTGCAATCAAATAACCAGTTCTTCTAGACATCAGAAAAGATCGAGGGGTCAGGCACTGACCCAGAAATCCACAGTAATGTTAATATAGAGAGGGTTGTGCTCCACAGACAGTAATTTGTAAGAACAACTGGTCAAGCCATCTCTTCTCCAGACTCGTGACACCTGATGTAAGAGCTTCATCCTGAAGGTAGAAAAAGCAAATGTGAATAACAAAACAAGGTCTGGACAGGTGTCTCCTTTGGTTGTTTTTCTCTTTTTGCCTTGTCCCTAAGTGTGGCAAAATATTTTTTATACCTCACTCCACCTACTGGGCATCCTACTGGAAAAACAGTTGTTCTTTCCCCATTGAAGAGAACAGACACCTCTGAAGACTAAGCACCTCTGTGTCAGCCCCCACCCCACCCGCCTGTGAAGGCCCTGTGGCTAACAGCGATAAGACCCTGCCTTCCAGGAAACCTTGGTATGTACAGAGTATATGGATATACCATTGACACAAGGGGATGTGTGGCACCCAGTGCTCACAGGTCTTTGGGGGTGAAGTTTGGCTTCAGATGATCTCCAATGTTGGGGAAATATTCTGTCTGTAAGAAGGGAGGATATAGAGTTTTCATAAGAATATCAAAAATGAAAGCCAGGTACCAGTGGCTCATGCCTATAATCCTAGCTAATAAAAAGGCTGAGAGGGGCTGGGAATGTAGGTTAGTGGTAGAGTGCTTGCTTAGCAATCCATAAAGCTCTGGGTTCGATTCCTCAGTACCACATAAGCAGAAAAAACTGGAAGTGGTACTGTATCTCAAGTGGTAGACTGCTAGCCTTGAGCACAGAAAGGCTCCAAAACAGTGCCCAGGCCCTGAGTTCAAGCTCCAGAACCAGCAAAAAAAAAAGAAAAGGCTGAGATCACACCCAGGTGCCAGTGGCTCATGCCTATAATCCTAGCTACTCAAGAAGCTGAGATCTGAGGATCGTGGTTCAAAGCCAGCCCGGGCAGGAAAGTCCATGAGACTCTTATCTCCAATAAACCACCAGAAAACCAGCAGCAGCACTGTGGCTCAAGTAGTAGAGCACTAGCCTTGAGCTGAAGGGCTGAGGGACAGTGCCCAGGTCTAGAGTTCAAGCCCCATGACTGACAAAAAAAAAAAAGAAACAAACAAAGAAAGAAAAGAAAAGCTGAGATCTGAGGATTGAGGTTCAAGCCAGTCCTGCCTGGCAGAAAAGTCTACTTTTATCTCCAATTAACCATCAAAGAGCCAGAAGTAGAGCTGTGGCTTAAGTGATAGAGTGCTAGCCTTGAGCACAAAAAGTTCAGAAAGAGCACACCCAGGCCCCTGAGTCCAAGCACCAGGACTGGCACAAAAAATAATTTTTTTTTGTTTAAATGTGCATCTGTATGTAGAGGAAATGAACAAAGGCCATATGACTCCACCTGGGAGTCTGGGAAAGGGATAGAAAAGGTAAATCCTACTAAAACTAACGAAGTTTAATTCCCTATGTGAAAGTGGTGAAGAAAAGGGCTCTTCAAACAAAGAGACTACTGGGAAAGCTACACAGACATGCACAGGAATGGGATTGAGAAGGAAGTCATTACTGTGGTCAGAGCTGAGGAACTAGGCAGTGAACTGAATTGTCTTTGTCTCTAGGAGCTCAGCTATGAAGACAGTTTAGACAGAGCTCAAAAGCAATGATGTTGGAAGTGGAGCTCCAGCTCTCGTGGTAGGAGGATCAGCCTAATTCTCAGCTCAGCCTCCTAAAAAGTAGATTATAGGCATGAGCTATGGGAACGTGGCTGATAATTGGAAGTTTTGTCAATTTTATTTTATACATGACAATGGTATTGAAACTTTTTCTTAGGAAGTTTCTTAGATTTTAAGGATGTATACTGAAATATTTATACATGAAATGCTCTGACATCTGTGATTTGCTTCTAAATAATCCAGAGAGAGAAGAGGGGAAAAAAAAAGTGGAAGACAGAAGTAAGGCCCAGAGTTCGTAACAGTTGAAGTGAGGGTTCCAGGAACCATTCTTCTCACTTCTTTTTTTAAAAATGTTTTTGAAATCATTATCTTTAAGTGGTTGTACAAAGGAGTTACCATTTAACAAAGCAGTTTATGAATATAATGTATCTTGATCTATGTCACCCCTTTCAACATTCTCATTCATCCCTCCCCTTTCCTCACTCTTAGTTTTGTAGAATATACCATGGATTCTTGTCTGAATTTTCCCCCTTTTTTCCCCTTCATCACTGTCAATAAAAGCTGTTAGTAAGATGAACTGGCTGATCTGCTGGAATGCAGCAGTACCCTTACATCAGGAGAGACCAGGTTAGCTGGAGTCCAGCCCAGGGACCCTGAGACCCAGGACCTACCTCTCCACATTCACCTCATTGCCTTGGTCTCTGGTATGGAAGATCATTGTATATTTACCCACTTCTGGCTTGGGCCGAGATATTTTCATTTTCTGGAGTTCAACCCTAGAAAAATAACAGAGAAGATTTTTTTAAAAAAATCTATCCCACTTGGGCCAGGAAGTTGGCTCAGTGGTAAGAGCGCTTGTCTCACATGCATGAGGCCCTGGGTTCGATTCCTCAGCACCACATAAACAGAAAAAGCTGGAAGTGGTGCTGTGGCTCAAGTGGCAGAGCACTAGCCTTGAGCTGAAGAGCTGAGGAACAGGGCCCAGGCCCAGAGTTCAAGCCCTACGACCAAAAAAAAAAATCTATTTCACTTATCTTCTCCTACTGGGCATTAAAAAGAATCACTAACAAAAGAAAACTTTACACATACAACTTTATATGGTGGTATTTTATAAAGAAAGAAGAAAACATAAATTTTCAGATTTTCACATAATGGTAGGACTTTAAGCAGTGAGCATATAAAGAATCACATTGAGGCCGGGTGCCAGTGGCTCATGCCTATAGTCTGAGCTACTCAGAAGGCTGAGATCTAAGGATCACGGCTCAAAGCCAGTCTGGGCAGGAAAGTCTATGAGACTCTTATCTCCAATAAACCACTAGAAAATAGGAAGTGGCGCTGTGGCTCAAGTGGTAGAGTGCTTGCCTTGAGCTGAAGAGCTGAGGGATAGTGCCCAAGCCCAGAATTCAAGCCCTATGACTGACAAAAAAATAATAAAAATAATAATAATAATAATAATTCCATTAAACATTTACTAATGGGACATAAAGGAGATACTTCCAATTAAGTTACTTTTTTTTAAAAAAATGTATAAAGCATTTTAATATATCCTAGAAAACAGAAAGATAAAGCCTATTGGGATCTCTATTTACTGGCACCTTGTAACAATGAAAAAGAAACGAAGATCACAAGTGTTCAAGCCCTTAAATCTCAACTGTAATTTCTCTACAAACCCAGTAAATCTGCAACTCCTATTTCAGGTCTGCCTGTTGTTTTAAAATGAACATGGTAACACGGAGCTTACTTCAAAGATTCCTCCAGCATAATTCACATGGAACAGGCTTTGCAAACTGTTAATATAAGGTAAGAGATGGGTAATGCAAGATATCAGCAAAGAAATCTCAGCCCACCAGTATGTTCAGATGATACTGGTGAATGCATATAGCATTAGTCAAGTACCATTACAAAGGGCTTACAGTAGATGGGTGTTTGGTTAACTCTAGACTCATTAGTTCTACCCGAAGTCAAGATCACAAGCCATGTGCACACAGGCTGCTGGGACCGTGGCCACCTCGGCCTGGAAGATCTATCCCTTCCTACCAAAGACATTCATTCCAACTTAGACATGAGAGCAAGCCCCTTATGGAGCCACTGGCTTCTACATGCCAAAGCGATGGAAGACAGTCACCCATCTGTTCATTCAGCGTAGAAATCAATTTCCCAAGAGGCAACAGGCAGGGAAAAAGGAGTCTCCTGACATTCAGGAAGGCCCTGAAATTGTTGTAAGTCCAAGATGAATAATTACAGATTTCTGGAAGGAAGGGCATCTAACAATCTAGCCACAGAAACCTAGGTTCAGGGGAAGGAGAGGAGAGAGGAGCCCTTCCTTTGGCCCTGAGGGCAAAAAGCAGTTGGAAAGAATCTGAGGGAAATACCCACAGCTCAATCATTCCCACAAGTCAGGCCAGGAGCTGCTCTCAAAGCAGGTGGAGGAGGTGTCCTTCCCCCTTTGGGGTCTGCAGCTCCTCAGAGACTGTGACACTCCAGCTCTGCCTGCAGGTCCCAGTGCCAGGCTCCCCTGGGGCCTGAGGAGAAGCAAGAGGTTTCCAACAGGCCCTTCTCAGCTCCCGCCAACATGGCTGCACCTCCAACATAGCCACAGATGACTCTTCAACATGCCTAAGCTGCCGCCATTGGCAGAGAGTAAGTTACGTCATCCTCTTCTCCCTCCATACCCTGCCACACGTTAAATCCCAATCTGCAGCCATGGGAGCATCTGGGCTGACACCGACAGAAACTGCACAGAAACACAGATTTCCCTGAGCCACCACCAGTGATGGCGGAGCCCCATGGCGTGTTCACCTGAGTCTGAGGTCGTCATCTTCACCTCCCCATCCCCAGTAGTTGTTAGAGAATCCATTCACCTTGAAGAACTGCTCTCTGCTGAGGGCGGTAACACCCCCGAAATACCCACTGTAACGTAACCTAGAGCAAAAGGGAAGAGAGCGGGAAAGCAAAACCATTAGGACAAGCCCCTTCCATCCTCCACCGGTCTCTGGTTTCAGGATGTGCTCAACAGATTGTGTCTTTCCTTCCACAGCTCTACCCCAGTTTGTCATCCACCTCCCAGTGCTCCTGGCCTTCCCTGTCTTGCCTTCTTCCTTCTGTCTAGACGAGTGCTCATCTCTATCCTTGACACAAGATGCCACTACTTGTGACTAGGCATGCTGATGAGCAGGTGTCTCGTGACTGATAACCTACATCATTAGATCTGCAGGAGAAATTTCATCTGCGTACCAATCCCGCTGAATGGTAATAGCTAGGGAGGGCACTGGGGTAAGATTCTGAAGTTATATCATGAGGTTCAGCATGAAAAAGCATCATGATGACTTTTTTTTAACTTCTCTTTTTGTGGGGAGAAGTAGAGAACAAGCTCCTGTTCTGTTCACCCACACTCTGAAAACCTCCCTCTTCTCAGTCTGTTTTCTAGAGACTCCAATATACCACTCCTGAAATTTCTGGCTTGGACCACTAGGTAGAGGAGAGTACCTTTCATGGAAACATAATAGTAGTGAATGATAATTTAGTTTTGAGAGGAAGACAATTAGGCACTGGACAAGCTGACTCTGAGATACCTCAGAGAAATCTAGCCAGGAGATATAGGACACTCTAGGTTCGAGTTCCCAAATGAAAAGGAACCACAGAAATGCTTTAGGAAATCAGCTGGCAGTGCATGGTCCATAAAGACTCAGCAACAGAGAAACTACCTGAAGACAGTGCAATGGGCGAAAAGAGAGAGAAGTGTCCTGCTAGGTGGCCACTAGGTAGGTAGGTCTCTGAGTTTGCTGACCTGGAAAAGAATCAATTTTAACTGGCTCTGGAACTGGATGATGTATTCTTGAGGGGATCCAAGCTGAGGAAAATGTAGTCATAAAATTCAAGCAGTAGAGTCCTTGTGGAAAACAAGCAAGGTACCAAAGGAATTATTGGCAGCAGGATTAGCCCAGGCTGATCCTATAGCTGTACCACGGACCCATAATGATGACCAAGATGCATTTCTGCTCTGGTCAGTCTGGGACACTTGGGACAAGATTCCTTAGCTTCCTCTCTGTGGGTACATGGCAAGTGAAAACATGTCGTACTTCTGGGACTGTTGGGACAGCTGAGCTAAGCCTCAAGGTGCAATAACACAAAGGTACCAGCAGAGAGAAGACACTTAACTGCCTGCAAAGAAACTTGCCTGCCAGACACATTTTTGTCCAGGGTAGCAAAGAAAGTAGAAGGGAGGCATACCTCTCCCTGGCATATTTATTTGTCGAGGAATTTTCTTAGCTATTATTTTCCCTCTGTTGTGTTGAGACAGTTTTGCGTCTCCTAGGGACAGAGGCTGGTAGGAATCAAGGCTAGCACTTTTCCATTTGAGCCACACCTCCATTTCTGGCTTTTTGCAGGGTAATTGGAAATAAGAGTTTCACATATTTTCCTGCCTGCACTTTCTTGCCCAGGCTTCCTTCAAACCCAGATCCTCAGACCTCAGCCTCCTGAGTTAGCTAGGATTATAGGCATGAACGACGGTGTCCTATCTAAAGAATCTTTGAAAGAAAATAACCTTTTCCTGAGGTCCAGGCTCCTGAGCAATGTGCTCCTCCCCATTTGTACCCAGAACCCTGGAAAGAGGCTGCAGTCTGGGAAGAAATGTCAGGTCAAAATGCTGATCTACTGGCAAATAGAGAAAAAGCCAAGGATTGACAGGAAGTTACTAGAACTCTCCTAAGGGAAATTTGCAGAAGTTCTCTCACTGGTATTTCAGGGTGCAATGCTTGGGGAATCTTCTCCTCTGTTCTCCTTTCGTCTTTGTGATCCTCTGTCAGGTTTCTTATTGGATTTTTCTCTAACTTGTGGGTTTTCATTTCAAGAAACAATGGGCCATGTGTTCCTATTTCTTGCTTTCCTAAGACAGGCAGGATGCTATTTGGCACCCAGCGTTCATGCCATGGGCAGAGCCACCTTACCTGTACCCAGTGCTGTTCCTGCCAACCACCAGGTGCTTGGGCTGATCCTCGCATGTGTAAAGGTTCAAGTCATTTTCGGGCACCAGGTCCACATCATGGAATATAAAGCAGTCCCAGTTCTCTTCCTTGAGAGCCTCCAAATAGCCCACATTCAGGAGTTTGGCTCGATTAAACTTTTTCGTTCCAGCCTACAGAAAATGAAAATTAACATGTGAAAGACTCCTAAGCTAAGTCTTCCAATTTCTTCCTCTCTTTGGCTCCAATTAAGGAGTTGGTGGTGTTTTCTTGTTCTGTTGGTTGAGTGTGTGTGTATGTGTGTGTGTCTGTGTGTCTGTGCGCGCATGTGTGTGCATCAATTCTGAGGCCTGAACTCAGAGGCTGGGCACTGTCCCTGAGCTTTTTGTTCAAGGCTGGTGCTCTACCACTTGAGCTACAGCTCCATTTTCAGTTTTTTGGTGGTTAGTTAGAGATAAGTTTCATGGACTTTCTTGCCTAGGCTGGCTTTGAACTATGAGCCTCTGATGTTAATCTCTTTGTTAGCTAGGATCACCACCAGCATTCAGCATGGAATTGGTTTCATTCTTGCAAATACACAAGACTAGACAAAAAACTAAACACAGAGCTCCCCTACGAATCAGCTATATCAGTCTTGGGAATCTACCCTGAACATCATGAGCCCAGATATGATAAGGACACCTATACTGCACATCCATATTTATTGCCACACTATTCACAATAGCCAAGATATGGAAACAAGCCCAGATGCCCCATAATAGATGAGTGCATCCAAAAACTGTGGTACCTATACAAAATGGAATTTTACACAGCCATTAGAAAGAATAAAATAACGTCATTTGTAGGGCAATGGATGGAATTAAAACAAGTCATGTTAAGTGAGGTAAGCCACACTCAGAGACAAACAGTACATGTTCTCTCTGACATGCAGAAGTTAGATCTAAAATACACTGGGATATGACAAATTATACAGGCTTCTAGATACCTACAAGGAGAGCAAAGGAGGATACTCTTAGGAGAGAAACACAAAGGTGCAATGCCTCATATTTATATATAATAATACACATACTGAAATGAACTCTAAGATATGGAAGCAAACAAATTTTGTTTAGTTTTTAGTTTTTGATGATTCTGTCTTCTTTGCCTTATGTGTGGAGTATTCTCATGTATTCAGGAGTGTGAGAGGGAGGGCACAGAAATCAAGGGAAGAATGAAAAAGTGGAGCATTGGAACACACTGGGCATTGATGAACGTGAACACACAATTCACGGGTGGAGACAAGAGGGTGGGACTGGGAGACAGCGAGGGAACAGAAGACACTATATGAAGGAAATGTACTCTTTACCTGACTCATGTAAATCACCTCTATCATAACAATAAATCAAATTTTAAAAATGTATTCCTAGGGCTGGGGTATAGCTCAGTGGCAAAGCACTTGCCTAGCAAGTTTAACATGCTGGGTTCAATCCCCAGGACCAAAAAAAGAAAAGACAAAAAATTACAGTTAAAAAAACAATCAACAGGGCTGGGAAGGTGGCTCAGTGGTAGAGCGCTTGCCTTGCATACATAAGGTTCGATTCCTCAGCACCACATAAGCAAAAAGAAAAAAGCCAGAAGTGACGCTGTGGCTCAAGTGGTAGAGTGCTAGCCTTGAGCTGAAGAGCTGAAGGACAGCGCCCAGGCCCAGAGTTCAGACCCCACAACCAGACCCCCCCCCCAAAAAAAAAAACAACAACAACAAAAGGCAGATCAATTAAAAAGATATTCCTTAACTCAAAATTTCTGCTGGATGTAGTGGCTGATGCTGTCATCTCAGCTACTCAGAAAGTGGAGATTAGAAGAACCACAGTTTGAAGCTAGCCAGGGTAAAAGTGAGCATCTCTGAAAACAAGCCAAGAATGATTGTGCATACCTGTAATCTGGGTAGATGGAAATCAGAGGCATAGAGATCACAGTCTGAGTCCAACCTTAGGCTAAAGCTCAAGACACTATTTGAAAAATAACTAAAGCATGGGGAGATGTCCCCAGGCTACAAGCTCAACACTTCTCAAACCACTACCACCACCATAATTTTAAAGTGCCTTTATAAGGTCCACATAAAACTATGAAACCTCAGAACATACCAGCCATACTAATTAGTATTACTGCCTCACTATGAATTCTCTGCTGATCTCAATCTATTACAAAAGTGACATTTAGCTTCCAAGAGCATTAGCTTGCCAGAAAGGATTAAGAAACAATAGCCTATCAACAAAGGTTACTGATAATATTTCTAAGGTATTTAAAAGTTTCTCTGAAATCACTGTAAAAAAAAAATCCTGTTTTACACTGATGGGGAAGGCTGACCTTCACAACAACCTTGAAAAAAAGAGGGAGATTTATCACTGGGTCAGAGAAGAACATGTCCCTAGATCATGACCAATGCTGGAGAGAGGAAAACGTGTGACAGTTTTTTACTTGTTTGAGTAAGTTGGACCAGATTTCACAGAAATACATTCCAATTTGATCAACAAATTTGTTAGGATGAGAGGGCTCATCCTAACAAAAGTGCAAGCAGTTCTCAGAAGTTACTGTGATGCTTTCCTGAAGAGCAAGACAAAGCAGTGTAATATTGCTATTCTGGGTAAGAATTTTAGACTCAAATCAATCACAGCTATGACCAACGACATCAAAAACAAAAATTATAAAGCAAAATAAATGTAAAATGTTGTGTCAAGTCCTCATAGACAGACCTAGAAGCATACTGATTTTCAAGAGCCTCCATCTTAAAGCATCAAGTATACACTAAAGCCAGGTGTCATTGGCTCGCCTGTAATCCTAGCTACTCAGGAGGCTGAGATCTGGAGGATTGTGGTTTGAAGCCAGCTCATACAGGAAAATCCATAATACTCATATCTAATTAACCACCAAAAAGCTAGAAGTGGTGTGACTCAAGTAAAAGAGCACCAGCTTTGAGCAAGAAAGCCAAGCAGAGTGAGGCCCTGTGGGGCTAGGAAGGTGGCTCAGTGGTAGAGCGCTTGCCTTGCATGTATGAGGCCCTGGGTTCAATTCCCCAGCACCACATAAGCAAAAAGAAAAAAATCCGGAAGTGGTGCTGTGGCTCAAGTGGTAGAGCGCTAGCCTTGAGCTGAAGAGCTGAGGGACAGAGCCCAGGCCCAGAGTTCTGGCCCCACAACCGGACCCAAAAAAAAAAGAGTGAGGCCCTGAATTCAAGCCCCAGTAACAGCAAAAAATAAAAGTTAATAAAGTACACACTGCAGAGCTGATTTTCTCAGCTGTCAAAAGTTTGACCTACCACAAACATTACCAGCTATATTTGGAAAAGCTCAGATGTAGATGCTTAAATGGATGTCCAATTTTCTTTTAATGAACTTTAATACCAAACACTGGCATCTTTAATCAGTCGCTCCACTAACCTTGTAACCAAACTCTCAAAAGCAGCCTATAAACACAGTGACCAATTGATGCTTGTGGAAGCCAGATCAGTGAATCAAGCCAGTGAACTTCAGACCTAGCACATCTGGAATAGTAAATAGAGGCAGAGTAAAGGCAGAAATATGAACTCGCCTCACTCTCTCCACTCTCTGATGCCCATCTCCACTCCATAGCCACCCTCAATAGTGACAAACTGAACGCCAACATCACCTGGTACAGCACACGGCTGTACCAAAAGCCTGTGGGACCAAAAGCCTGTGGGAGTCTTAAGTTAGTACTGACTAACATAGAAGGGCTCCCTGGTACTAGAGCTTGAACTCAGGGCCTGGGCACTGTCCCTGAGTTTCTGTGCTCAAGGTTAGCACTCTGCAACTTGAGCCACAGCTCCATTTCAGCTTTGAGGTGGTTAATTGGAGATAAGAGTCTCACACACTTTCTTGCCTGGGCTGGCTTCAAAGTAGGATCCTCAGACCTCAGCCTCCTAGGTGGCTAGGATTACAGGTGAGAACCACTGGTGCCCCACCTACTTTATTATTTTAGAGCAGGAACATTTCAAGAAACTTGATCCCTGGACTCCACATTCTGGAGCAAGAATGTCCTCTCCTCTTTTCAAGTATACATGGGGTACAAGAACTCTCCTACGATGAGAGTCTCATGCTCCATTTACCCCCAAGACAGACAGAAGGCCACATGGCTGACCCCTCAGGGCCCAGGTGAGGCCGGCCCTCACCTGGTGGATGATGTAGATGCCATAGGCCAGCTGCTGTCTCCGCAGGAAGGGGTGGAGGTGTTCCAGCAGGTACATCAGATGTTTCTCCCTGTTCCTGTGCGGAATGAGAATGGCGACCTTCTGCAAAGCCTTGCATTCCTCGGGATGGTAGCGGCCTCTGTGCACCTGGGGGTTTTTTGCTTGGACCTCCTCCAGCGTGAGGTCTGGTTTGAAGATGAGCTTGCTCTGACCTCCTGCCATCAACACAGACACCAGTCATGCCAGGAGCTGCCACCACGTGCTGAGAGGCTAACAAAGCAAAGCCTTTGGCCACAGTGAGGGTTATTTTTTTTTTTAATGTGTTACCTTGAACTACTCATATGAAAGTGTCAGTTACTCATGACCTGTCACCAGAGAGTCATGCCACAAAGTAACCAGGGGAACAATCAAGTGGCTGATACTTAAGAGCACTGGCCAGGTAGGCAACTCTGCCTTGATGGGCCATTTGTAAGTAGCCCTAGTGGTCAGCAAAGGTGACCAGAACCTCAACTGAGAAACTTCTCAATTCTTTGCCTTCTCAAAATTCCAGAAGAAGAGTGAAATATCTGAGCATTCCATGAAAATACACTCCTGGACAAGGCTTTCCCCCTCAGTTTCCTTAGCTCCCTGTTCCTAGCTCCCTGAAGAAAAAGCTGGAAGGAAGTAGAAGCTAGTTTGTCACCAGTGATGACAAATGTTGTCCCAGCACAGCCCGTGACAGTGTGGCAGACAGAGCAATTGGCTCAGAGAGACTGGAAGCAGTCCCATGGCTGGAATCCAAGGCAGTGCATGGTAACCAGCCCCGGGGAAGGTATCTAGTATCAGGCTGACAAGTGATCCTCCCCTGCGACCTGAATTTACAAGGCAGGCTGACTGGTCAGATAGGCACAGAGTCCTGCTAGGGGACCATGCTGAGGTCTCCCTCCCACCATTCCTTTATTTTTATTGATTTAACTCTTTATAGACTGGCCAGGCTATGAAACATCTTATTGCTTGTACTCTCCTCTTCTGAGCAAACAGGCCTGCTAGCATATAAGCCCCTCTGTAATGGTTTCAATTACTTTGGCCATTGCCTAACTTAGAACTGGGGTCTCTGCCCAGCAGTGCTCAGAGTAAATAGTCACTTAGCCACCCAGGAGAGCAGCACGCCTACAAGAGCCTTCCAGAAGGGTCTGAGTGAGAGACAAAGATGGCGGTTAGTCATGCCTACTAAACCAACAGCAAGAAAATGGAGTTATAAGAGAGATACGCTGCAAGAGCCACCACTTGGCAACTGAGCTGCTGGATCCTGAGACAGTGTCCTGTGTGGCTTGTTAGTAAACCCCATCACGAACATACCCAAGTCTCTGTCATACACCTGGAAGAGCCTCAAACAACAGGTCCAACGTCAACTAGACCCTTTGCTCGCCTTCTCATTGCCATAACTTTGGTGTGTCCTAACCTTCTAGAATGTACTTCCAATTACTCCCTCATTGTCTCCCTACAGCCCACCTCCTGTTCCTTAATGACCTATCTTAGGACATCACGCTGTCAGTCTAGCACTTGCTCAGAATTGTGTTGCCACCCATCCATGCTTTTGGAATGAGTTTATTGCTTAAATAACATGGTGAGGAGTGAGCAGTGTGCATTTCCATGACATGCAATTTCTGAATGGAATACACAATAAAGAAGAATGTTGGACAAGTGGAGGGAAAATGTAGGTAACTATAGTCATAATATTTACTGGTCTTATATGAAAATGGAACTCAAAAACTTGAGGGGATGAATGGAGTTGGGACCAATGAGGCAAAGATGGAAAAGGTGACACTAAGATGCATAGTACTATGAATGGACATGCTAAATTGAAACTCCTTTGTACAACTATTTAAAGATGATAAAAAAAAATTGATTTAAAGTGAGAAAGGAATGTTTTGGCTTAAGTGGCAGAGTCCTTGCTAAGCAAATATGAAGTCCGAGTTCAAAAGCAAAGTACAAAAAAAAGAAAAGAAAAGAAAACCAGAATGAAATTTTGACTTTCCAATGACTCACTAGAGGAAGAACCACGCCAAACTGAATTTCATACAAGACTGATGTGATCAGAAAGCCCAAAGGTTTGTCCCCAATGTTCATGCCACCCTAGAATGGCATTTGAAGGGGGGGCTTCAGGGAGGAAAGTAGAATAAAATGAGGCTGTGAGAATGGAGTTCCTAATGGGATCAATAATTTATAAAAAGAGCAAGAGACAGGAAATCTAAGCTTTAGAGTGTGTGTGTGTGTGTGTGTGTGTGTGTGTGTGTATGTGTGTGTGTGTGTGTGTGTGTACACGTACCAAAGAAGGTTATGTAAGGATGTGGCTGGTCAGAAGCCCCCATTGAGAACGGGGTTTTGTTTCAGCAGCCCAGGCACCCTGAGAATGAAGCGCTGCAATGTCTGCTGTTACTGAGAACACCCTCCCTGCAAAGACCTCCAGCTGCCCCACAGACAGTTCTTCTAGTCTGTGTAGAAGCCACAGCTGCCTGTGAGGAGGGGAGCTGGACTGCAGAGCTAGGGAGCATCAGCCCAGGTGTGAACTGCTGGCTCGCTGTCACCTGGGAAGAAAGGCAAGTGTGTGACCACCACCCAGTGACAGGCTCCACAATAGGACTGGAGATGAGCTCAGGCTGGGGCAATCCCAGAAAACTTCCTATAAGAAGAAAAATCCTAGCTGGATTTCTGCCGCTAAACAGGAATCCTCCTGGCAGCCATGGATGGAGGAAAGGCATTGTGGAAAGAGAGACATAGCTGGAAAGGTGGCTCAGTGGTAGAGCGCTTGCCTTGCATGCCTGAGCCCTGGGTTCAATTCCTCAGCACCACATAAGCAAAAAGAAAAAAAACAAAAAACAAAAAAAGAAAGAGAGACATATTTGTTAGAGTTGCAATGAGAACTACAACATTTCTATGCTCTGGAAAAGCAAAGAAGAGCTAGAAATGACACCAAGTGAGTGGGGTTTCTTCCTGTCCAAAGTATGTGCTCACTAAAACCAGTTGCTTGTTCATCCAAGCCAAAAGACAGGCAGTAATGGGAAATCAAAATATACACGATATTTAAGAAATAACACCAAATACAACACCTGAAGTGTTAGTCCCTGCCTCTAGACTCCATACTTTTGCCCAAGAGGAGTCTTACAGGTCAACACACATGAAGGCATGAATGAACTTGTATTTCTCCCCTTACAGCTCCATGGGAACAACATGCCCAGGCTAGCCTGGGAATGAGTGGAAGAGAGTGAGTAGAGATAACCCAGAACCAGCCAGGAGCCCAGTTCAATGGACCCCATTGTGAGCTGCTGAGCTGTCAATGGCTGGGTCATAAAATGGAGTATGCACACAAAACAGTATAGGACACATCACTGAGAATGAGCAAACTTAAATCACATACACCCACATAAAAAAGCTCACAAAACTCATAATGAACAGGAACCCAACGCGCACACACACACACACACATGCACACACACACACACACACACACACACAAGGCATATACTTTCAATCTGGAAGGCTTCAAAACAGGAAACAAAAAACTTCTAATAAATAGTGTTAGGATGTTAAACCAAGGTAGTTACCAAAGCAGCATGGGAACTTCTGGCTTTCCAGTGACTTTCCAGTTCTTAACGTACAGGATGGTCACATGGGTATATTCACTTTGATATTTAACCCAGCTAGAGGCTACATGACTGCTGTACTTTTCTGTAGGTGTATTCAATAAAAAGTTTGATAGTACTTATAAAAAAGCAAAAAGCAAACACTCACGGAGCTTTGGGGACACAGAAGGACAGCTGTCAAGTTCGGCCTTTCTCAAGGATTCTTGGCTGGTACCACCGTCCTCCTTTCCCAAAGCAATGGCCTTATTGAAATTTGTTATGAAATCCCTCGCTTTGGGAATCTCTGGAACAGTACCCACAAAGTAGTTACTAGTGGCCCACCCCACCACTGTCAGGCACAAGGTGAAAAGCAACAGCAATCGGAGCTTATAGGAAACATGGAAAGGGAGGCTGAAGGCCATGTCCTTGATCTTGTGAGAGGTTATCTCTGCTTCGAGGCAGATGCAGGCAAGGAAGCTTCTGGCTGAACTTTTCCAGGCTATAAAGAATGCAATGACGTCTGAGAACGCAATGCCAGCTTCTGCCCAGCAGTTCTATTCCAACAATCTCTGAAAAAAAAAAAACAGCCACTCATAAAGAACCTGCAGTTTTCACTGAGAATCCTATTCTGAAATGACAGAAAACTTACACATATATGGTTTTATATGTATGTATATTTTATACATATGGTTTTACAATATAGTCTATAATAAAATGAAATTTGTTTATCAAGTAGGAAGTAGGAAGGTAGTGATATAAGAAAAAATAATAAAGGAACAATCATCAACTTGCAACAAAGTTTCATACTAACTGAAGGGTAGTACTGAAAATTGAGTTTTAGGCTAATTTGAAAGAAATCTAGAAAATAAACACAATTTAAATGAAAATGGAGGTTACAAAAGAGAATATTACAAAAGGGAATATTTGACTCAAGAAGCAATTAAACATTATTATAACCTATGTTTAGAATCCTTTAAAAATAGAAAGTCAATGATAAAGGCCGTAACAATGACTACAAAGGGCTATTTGTGCATTTGCTCTTCATCATGGACTAGAGTCAAATCATTCATAAACTGACATAGTCAATTCTCATCTGGCCTTTTCCAGGAAGTTTCTGGGATTGCTCTGGCCAGAGTTCATCTCCAGTCCTATTGTGGAGCCTGTCACTGGTTGGTGGTCACACACTTGCCTTTCTTCCCAGGTGACAGCGAGCCAGCAGGACACACCTGGGCTGATGCTCCCTAGCTCTGCAGCCCAGCTCCCCTCCTCACAGGCAGCTGTGGCTTCTACACAGACTAGAAGAACTGTCTGTGGGGCAGCTGGAGGTCCTTGCAGGGAGGGTGTTCTCAGTAACAGCAGACATTGCAGCCCCGCGTTCTCAGGGCGCCTGGGCTGCTGAAGCAAAACCCTGTGTGTTTCCTTCTCACAGCTCTGGAGGTTTTCAGAAGTCCAAGATCAGGTTTCGTGTGGTTGGGTTCTCAATGAGGTCTCGGACTGACCATGTGCTCATGTGGCCTAACTTGATATGCTCTCATATGCATGCGCGCTCGCGCTCTCTCTGTCTCTGTCTCTCTCTCTCGCTCTCTCTCTCATGCATGCTCTCTTTCTCTCTCTCTCTCTCTCTCACACACACACACACACAATTGAGACTTAGATTTCATATCTCTTGCATCTAGGATCTCCTTGCGCTCAGCCACACCTTACCCTACTTTCCTCTCTCAGGCCCCACCTCCAAAGACCATCCCACTGGGATTGTAACTTTAACACATGAATGTGGGGAAGGAGGGACACCAGTATTCATTATTGTGGCCCAAGAACTTTATACTCCCCATTTTATAGCAAGAAAATGAAGGTTTGGAGAGATTAAGTAACTTGCCTAAAACACCAAAGTAATGAAGAGTGGAACTAGGGTCTGAGCCCAGGTCTTCTGGCCATATCTTCACACCAAGTGACAGTCTCTTCTCACCTGGATGGGCTGGGGCAGGGAAGGAAGGGACCACTGACACACTCATCTAAAATATGCAGGATCCCTAGTGGCCTTCTAACCTCCCCAACATTTTCCAGTCCCTTTCCTAGGGACTGGATTCAAATGCCTCCCTGGAAGTCTGTTCTCTTCCCAGATGAAGAAACTAAACTGGCAGTTTCCTGGAACCAATCAGGTAAGACTTCATTGCAGGAGTTTTAAATACTGGGATTTAGTGATGATGATTTACCAAAAAAAAAAAAAAAGGTCTTAGAAAATCTAGATTGGAAACATTGGGAACTATCCTCTCCCCCGCCCCAAACACACACACACACACACACACACTATTTTTTTTAATTAACTTACATTAGTTACAAAGCAGGGGATTTCACTGTTAGATTTCCATACAGGGAACACTGCAGTTCTAAGGAGCTATTTATGGAGAGACAATGCTCTGAAAGGAACAAGGAGCTGAAAAAAGAAAATAAAATTCACAAAAATCATAAAATTATTGCAGCATTCGAAGCGGCAGAAGCACATTAAAGAAGACATGCCCAGCTTCCTCCGGAGAGAGATTTAACAAGACTACTAGGCCGGAAGTATGTAAAAACTCTTGGTACCTCCAGTTTGATTTTACTGGGAACCTAAAATTGCTCTAAAATTAAAAATAAAAACTACCAAAGAAATAAAGACGTATGTATGAATAACCATACTCTATTATTTCAGAACAGCAGTATATGATACTTGTGCAAAGACAACACATTTATTGTGCAAGTAAGGAGCTACGATTAATGATTTCTTCATAATTAGAAAGAAATTCGTCGGGTTCTGTTTTGTTATGCCAAGGCTGGGGCTTGAACTCAGACCTTTATGCTCTCACTTGGCTTTTTACTCAAGGCTGGTGCTCTAGAGGTAACAGCTCCACTTCCAGGATTTCACCAATAATCCCACTTCTTTGGCCTACATGTGACCCAATAACCCAACAACCACTTACCCCTTTTGATCATCCAGTGTCCTCCTCAAAACTGACTGTGCCATGAGCCACCGAGAGAGACAGAGAGAGAGAGAGAGAGAGAAGTTGAAGAACAAACTTCCTTGCACCCTGTGAGTGAAAACAGTGGTGTGGAGGGCTTAGAACACAGGCCTGTGTGGCTTTCTGAACAGACTTCCACTCTCCTCCCCCTGCCAATCAGCTAAGCTACAGGCAACCCCTCCTACAGGTTTCTCTCTCCAGCGTTAAAATGATGGGCGAAGGGCCCTGACTTCATAACTGTTATTACAAGAATTCAAGGAAGTGCTGCACCCAAACATACCTACCACATTCTCAGGACATGACTGTTCATGACTCAGTTCACCAATGGGATGTAGGGTCAAGCAGAATCGGGATAGAGCCAAGATCACACCATACCTAGATTTAGAGCTTGGGTGCTGTCTTATGGCTTTTTTGCTCAAGGCTGGTACTCTACCACTTGAGCTATATCTCCACTTAGAACTTTTTGCTGGTAAACTGGAAATAAGAATGTCATGGACTTTCCTTCTTTGGCTGCCTTCAAACCATGATCTCAGTCTCTAGGATTACAGGTGTGAACCTATAATTACAGATACCTTGCTAAGAATTATTTTTTTAAAGAAGTTATATTTAGAGTAGGTGATTCCTGGTTGGTGTTTTGAAAAAACCATCCGATTGAACTTCTTTATGTTAATATTGAAGTAACCGAGACCCGGGAACTCTCACCATAGCCCCAGAGCTATTTCTTATTAAATCAAGGCTGAAATGAATGACAGAAATTGCGATTATAGAGAACAAATTCAGGTAACATCAAAGCAGTTGAGACAACTCTCATCACACTTTTATAGACATCTGCCCTAGAGTTGGTTCAAAACGATCAGGTTTTATATTTTGTTTCTCTTCCCTTATAAAGTTCAAACAGTCTTTTCTAAGCAAGTGTTATTTTTAAGCTAGTAATCAGTTTATTTCAATCTTTTCTCAGATACTACTGTCTGCAATTTACTTCTAAATATGCAACCTTCCCCATGTTTCAGAGAAAGACAAATGAAACCAGACTGGAAAAATGTTGAGACACTGAAGACAGGCCATAAGCACCCAAGGGTCCATGGTGCCTCTACTGAAAGTATGCATAAAAATTTCCATAATTATGGTTAAAAAAAAACTAGCAAGAAAGACAAAAGGTAGGAAGTAGAGCTATGGTTTAAGTGGTAGAGCTCTATCCTTGAGCAAAAAAAAAAGCTCAGGGACAGTGTCCAGGCCCAGAGCTCAAGCCCCAGGACCAGCACCTAAACAAACAAACAAACAAACAAATAAAAAGTATGGTGACAAGAAAAGTGTCATACTCTTTTTGGAGGGTGGGAACAGTGGAAGGAAGAAGGGCTAGGGAAGAGTGTGAAAGATGATGAATATGGCCAATAGTTGATTTGCATGTACAAAAATAGAACAATTAAACCTGTTTAAATAGTTTCAGAAGGGCAGCTGTCCCAGGTGACTCAGACATATAATCCTAGCTACTCAGGAGGCTGAGATCTGAGGATCTCAGCTTGAAGCCAGTTAGGACAGGAAAGTCTGTGAGACTCTTATCTCTAACCAACCACCATGAAGCCAGAAGTGGAGTTGTGGCTCAAGTGGTATAGTGCTAGCCATGACCAAAACAGTGCTCAGGCAGGCCCTGAGTTCAAGCCCCAGGACTGCCACCAAAAAAAAAAAAAAAAAGTTTTATAGGAGCAATTAGAGAATGGGATGGGGGAGGGGGATGAAGGGGCTGAGGTCGATTGAGATACATTATACACATGCATGAAAATGTCACAATGAATACTCTTAGACCAAAAATGCATGCTATTTTCTTAAGGAATAAAAATAGGTTGCTAAGTGCCACATATTTCTGCAGCATAAAACCATGAGGAAGGTGCAGGACAGTAAGTATTACAGTACACATATTAACTAAGCACTCAAGCACCAGGGAGAAAGATGTGGTCACCGCTCGGAATTGGCATGCTACCATCTCTGAAGCCATCTTTGTCAGATGTGGGGGAGGGAGTGGTGTGGGCTCAGGTAGCAAACTATTGTTCCCTTAAGACTCCGGCACTGATACTTCCTCCTGTGTTTACACCTGCAGCACGACTGGGAGATGGCCACCTGTACATATTTCCCTACCATCCTTAGGCCACTGATTTCCACTCTGCTCTTCCTACTACAGCTTCATTAGAAAGCATATGGGCGATCACTGCCCTTGCCCTTAGGGATTCCTTGGGGAGGGGGATAGAAATGATATTAGCTGTTTATATAGACAAGGCAGGTAAACTCAAAGAATGAGTTCCAAACCAAAATGGGAAACATTTGAAAAACAGAATAATAATGGCAGTCTTGCCCAGTAACTCACACTTGTAATCATAGTTACTTAGGAGGCTGAAATCTGAGGCTTGTGGTTCGAAACCAGCCCAGGCAGAAAAATCCAAGACTTTTACCTCCAACTAACTAGCAAAAATCTGGAAGTCTGTCTTAACCCTTCAGCATAAAAAGCTGAGTAAGAGCCCAAAGTCCTGAGTTCAAGTCCCAGTACCTGCACAAAAGAATAATGATGATATCACACTTAACATATAGAAGAAAATATCCATGAATTCACAGTGATATAAATGATCAAATAAGTAAATAAGTGGGAGAGAAACAGCAGCTCTTTCAAACAGGAAACTTCTGATTAATAAGAAAGTGGGAGATAGGGGGGAAAATCCCCATCAGGCAAACACCACGTAAAAATTGCAACAGACAAGATTCACCAATGACCTAAGTACTCAGGAGACTGAGATCTAAGGATTGCAGTTCAAAGCCAGCCCAGGGGAGCAAGCCCATGAGACCCTGATCTCCAAGTAACTACCAAAAAAGCCAAGTGGAGCTGTGGCTCAAGTGGTATAGTGCTACCCTTGAACAAAGGAAGCTCAGGGATAGTACCTGGTCTCTGAGTTAAAGTCCCAGAAGTAGCGCGCACACACACACACACACACACACACACACACACACACACACACACACACACACACAAAGATTCACAAATGGATGCTAAAAGTAATACATTAAAAACCTGAGGAAAAATGGAACTTTTTTTTTTTTTTGCTTAGTTGGAGAGAATCTCCCTCAGATAGTAACTGCAAAGGGAAAAGCAGGGGCTTTACCATGTCGAAACCCAACAGATAAGCAACTCCCAGAAGTGACTAAGATGAAATGCCCTGTGCTGAAACCTGTGACCCAATTCCACCAAGATGAATCACACCACTTCATGTAATAACAAATGGACACTCAAAATCATGAAAGACAAGGCCAAACTTAAACTAGTGCACACCAGAGGAAACTAACAGGAAATAAAAATGAATACAAACCTCAACTGACTGTTGCACATTAGTAGAAAAATTGATCAAACACAGTCCATTGTTTCATTACTTGAATTGTTAAGGTACCATGGCTGTGGAAGGGCTGATAATAGGTAAAGCGAGGTGAACTCTATCATTCTTACAACTTCTACATAGTTTAAAACTAGCTAAAAATAAAAAGTTTTAAAAAATGAAGTCAGAGACTCATTATATTCTGTGACACTGACTCTTTTTTATATTCCCAAAGCTTCAGACCCACCTGACACATAACAAGTCCTCAACCTGGTAAATGCTGAGTCTTTCCAGAACACACTAGTTGGGCTGGGAAGCTGGCTCAGTGGTAGATGCTTGCCTTGCATGTATGAGACCCCGGGTTTGATTCCTCGGCACTACATAAGCAGTAAAAGCTGGAAGTGGCACTGTGGCTCAAGTGGTAGAGCGCTAGCTTTGAGCTGAAGAGCTGAGGGACAGCACCCAGGCCCAGAGTTCAGGCCACACGACCGACAAAAAAAAAAGCTCAAGGATAGTGCCCAAGCCCTGAGTTCAAGCCCCAGAATGCACTAGTTGAATACATAGGACATAGCCTACTGCTAAAAGAAACAATAGATGAAAGGAGGGGAAGGAGGGGTAATAAAGATTAATATAGAAGATAAATATTAAATGGATATAGCCAGGCATGGTGGCACATGCCTGTAATCCTGGCCCTCGAGAGGTTGAAGCAGAAGGATCACAAGTTGGAGGACAGCTCATTTTACAAAATAAGTCCCAGCTCCACCCAGCCTAGGCTATATAACAATATCCTATATCTAATAATGACAATAACAACAACAGTAATGACAACAATAATCAACTTACAATAGATTAAATAGATTTAAAATCCCATTTTAGGAAAATTGTTTAAAGGGAAAAGGCCCATCCTACTACTACCTCCTTTTGGTAGTATGATATTACTTCAAAGCGCATTCCCTGAGCTCTATTCCATTCAAGGCTGGCACTCTATCACTTGAACCATAACTCCACTTCCAACTTTTTGGTAGTTAATTGGAGATAAGAGTCTCACAGACTTCCTGTGTTGTCTGGCATTAAATCTTGATCCTTAAATTTCAGCCATCTGAGTAGCTAAGAATACAGATGTGAGCCTCTGGCACACAGCTAATACCAATAGATTTTAAGAGCAATGTTGCTCATCTCTAGGAAGTGACACTTTCTCTTGGTGATGTACATCACCTCCTGCTCCTGGGAAACTGAGTATTTAAGAGATGCTCCTCCACCCTGACAGTCTGCCCTTTCCTCCACAAGCCCAGAGGACCACTGCATGCACTAGTGTAGTCAGCTCTCCATCCCTATACCAAAGACCTAAGATAACCAATTTAAAGAGAAGAAAGGCTGGGAGCCGGTAGCTCATGCCTATAATTCTAGCTACTCGGGAGGCTGAGATCTGAGGGTTACAGTTCAAAGCTAGCCTAGGCAGGAAAACCCATAAGACTCTTATCTCCAATGAACCACCAGAAAACCAGAAGTGGCACTGTGGCTCACCGGCCTTGAGCTGAAGAGCTGAGGGACAGCACCCAGGCCCAGAGTTAAAGCCCTATGACCAACAAAAAAAAAAAAAAAAAGGAAGAAAGGTCAAGTTTGGCTCACCATATTAGAGGTTTCACTTCATGTCCTCCTGGCCATGTGGCCTGTGGGTTTGGGGCTGTGGTGAATTACAT